TATGACATAGTGTGTTACATAAGCGGGACTTTCCCGACAACAGGGACGAGCGAGTCGGAAGCCTGGTACAGGAGCGTCACATACGACTCACTCGCTCATCCACCTGCGGGACTGTGCACATGGGGAAGATTGACGCGCATTGCATTGACATATATGCAGCATAACATTTTTCGTACATATCGCCTGAGATGCCGTAGACAGTATCTACTAATTACTGCATAGTTCATGGTCTTTGTACTATCGGATTTGCCCGCACGAGAGGCAAACAAGGCAGGAAATGATGCCCTGATTCCGTTCAACATCGAGCTTGTCACCTCAGCCATCGAAAAGTCCGCGAATGTTACGGGGTATTTTATCTGTGAGACCATGACTTCTCTGAGCATGGAGTTACGAATACATTCCCTCGAATACATTTTTAGTGACTGTTTTCGGTTCCAGTGACTGTTTTCGGTTCTTAGTGACTGTTTTCGGTTCTCGTCAATCGAATGACTATCGACAACAACTCCGATATTTCGTCCAACATCAATCTCCCTCCGACCCAGGAGACCGGCGGCTTCGTGACTGTTATGGAAGCAGTTCTGAATGTCTGCGCTGGGTCGGCCATGGGAGTCAGGAAGGCCAATGAGGTGAAAACGCTGCTGGACAGAATGCATGCGATGTATACGGGCGCGCAAGAAGATCTGTGTGAGGGTCAGAGAAAGTTAATCAAGGTTATGGAAGAGCACGGTAGGGTCAAAGAGGAGATTTCGAGGATAAACAGGTCCGGCATGGCCACGGGTCTGGGGGTGCAGCGTACGGAAACACTGGGAACTGGCGGGATGCCCAGCAGACCCGACAGGGACGGAACTTTGATCTGGGTGACCGGTGGAGACATCAGAGAAGACAGGAGCACGGAGCATCGCCTCCGTATAGTCGGAAGAATTGGCTGTAAAGCCGAAGTAGTGGTGCTAGACAGCTTTTTCGCGAAAGATGGCAGGCTAGGGATCAGAGTAGCTGAAGGTGATGTAGGCGGTGCCGTACGTGCGGCCGTAGATCTTGGGTATGAAGGGAAGAGCCCTGGATCCTTTGAGCCTGAGTTATTCATAAGGGAAGTCGGCTCGATCAGTGAGCAGACGTTGAAGGATGCTATAGGTGAAGAATGCACAGCAGTTTACAAAAGGGGCCTCAACGCCTTTGTAAGAGTGAAGAAGTGTGGAGTTGAGCGGCTGCTAAGGGAGGGCATTAAGGTGGAATGGCGACTTATCAGACCCGAGCTGAAACACAGGAGGAAGATGTGCTATCGATGCTGTGAACTCGGTAAAAATGCCCATCTCGCCAGTGACTGCTC